AGCTATTAAAAAACTTTTTTGGGGTGGGGTGGGTAATACTAGGGATGAAACAGTCTGATGCACTCTACCACTGAGCTACATCCCCAGACCTTTTAAGAGATAATTTTATGCTTCTTTCACTTCCCACTTTCCCCAAAGCATATTTATTTCCTCCAAAATGCCCATTAAGGTATTCATGTTAACCTGTTACTTTCTAAATCCCTGTAACTGCCTCATACTGTCCATTGTATATAGCCCTGATTTCCTTTTATTTGAAGATATTGAAAAACCTCCATCATTTTAAGCATATAGCGAAATCAATTGAAGACAGTTAAGTTTTTTGAGCCACTGAACAAAAAAATATAAGAACACAAATCCATCTTTATTTTCCATTAGTTTAAATCCTTGAGGGGTACAGCATCTAGGGGGAAAAAAAGAACATTAGGTGAATGTTATATACAAATTTATAAATGTTACTGATTGCCATAACATGAATTAATCTCTTATGATCCCACTTTTATCTGAAATTTTTTTTCCTATACTACAGATTGAACCTAGGGTCTCACGTATGCTAAATAAGCACTCAACTACTGGGCTACACCCCTAGCCTCCTTAGTCATCTCTGAAAGGTATTCAATGACATATTCTGGTGGTTCCTGAGAACCAAGTTGTGTAGCATTCAGTTTATAGGAGAATATGCTTTGGGGCTTGGGGTATAGCTCTATGATTAAAGGCTTGCCTAGCATTCACAAGGCCCTTGGTTCTACCCTCAATACCAAAAATTAAAATAATTTAAAAAGTATTGGGAGAATATATAATTTTGCTTCTTAGAGTAAGAATCCTCTGATGAGAAAGCTCAAATGCTCAGCAAGGCTCTACAGTATCCCTATGACCCCAAGATTATGGTTAACTAAAAATGGATCCTAATAAAGAAAAAGCAGGGGTTATTTGAGGGAAAAAAGTCTCAGGATCTGGAGTCTAAGATTAAACCAACACTCTGAGTCCTCAGAATGTTTTCTTCATGTACAAAACAAAGTTGATTAACATCTAAAGGCTGAACAAAGATGCTTATAATCCCAGAGATGAGGAGGCTGAAGCTCACAAGTTTATTGCCCAGGCAATTTGGCAAGACCCTGCCTTAAGATAAAAATAGAAAGGGTTGGGATATAGCTCAGTTTTGAGTGCCCGTGGGTTCAATCTCCAGTACTAAAAAAAAAAAAAAGAAAGAAAGAAAAGAAATTATTTTCCCTCAAGTAGCTTTGGCAAAACTGAAATTTAGGCACAAATTTTCTGTTTTTGTACTGAGGATTATTATTAACCCAGGGGTGCTTTATGGCTGAGCTATACCCCCAGCCTTTTATTTTTTTATTTACTGAGGACAGTCTTGAACTTGTGATCCTCCTGCCTTTGGAGTCACTGGAATTACAGACATGTGCCGCCATGCACAGCTAGGCACAATTTGTTTGAACACTTTGCCATCACCTTCCTATAAGATGCCAAATCAGATGTTATGTAATACTCAGTATCTACACTACAGTCACTGATTTGGGCACAATTTACTGGCTTCATTTTACACTCAGAAAAATCCTTAGAAGTTACAGCTCAACCTCTTGAGCTTAGTTTATCTCAAAAGAGGGCTGTTTTGCTAAAAATTTCTACTTACCACACGGATTCTGTGTCCAATGGCCTTAGCAGGAAGGTTGCTTCGGAATTTGGCCCGAACCATGCCACTATTTCCATGGGCACGAGTTACCTTTCCCCAGATTACTCTGGTTTTGTTTGGTTTGCCACCAGGAGTCACAGTGTTGCTGATTTTAAAAGGGAATAAAAAAAGAAGGAGAACTCACATAAACAATATAGTCTCATACAAGTTCATGGTTACTAACCTCTAGTACCTCTCAAACTTGGTTACCCACTGAGTATGTCTGGAACACTTTTAATTCCACAGATAAAATAACTATTGTATACCAGGCACCTTTATCAGGGGATGACCATGGCAAAGAGAAGGAACAGCATATGCTAAAGAACTGAAGGGGGGCTGGGGAGATAGTTCAGGGGAAGAGTGCTCAGTTTGCATTCACAAGGTCCTGATTTCAATCCCTAGCACCCCTACTCATCGCAGGTGCACACACACAACCCCCACACCAAAAATCTTAAGTAATAACCCCAAGTTAGGGAGACTGTAGGTACAAAGTGGTGAGCCCTAGCTGGGATAAGAGCAAAAATGTGGAGTCCTCAATGCACAGGTTCTTAAGAGGCTCCTCATTGAGACTTTAGCTTTTTTTTTGTTTACTGAATGAGATGACCCACTGGGGTTTATAACCTACATGTGATGGAACTAGAAATTTTAAAGGAATACTCTGACTAAACAGGAAAAGGAGGCCAGAGATTTTAACTGGTCTGGAGTGGGCTAAAAACCCCAGGATTAAGTTAGGCCTGGTGGCACACTCCTGTAATCCCTGTGATTGGGAAGGCTGAGGCAAGAGAACAGCAAATTCAAAACCAGCTCAAGCAACTCAGGAAGACCCTATCTCCAAATAAAATGAAAGGGCTGGGGATCATGAACTGAAATTGGAATTCCATGAACCAACGCATGAATCTGCCGGGATGAAACCAACTACATGTGTTAAGTTAAAAATCTCAAAAAAGGGGAAGGGTATGGCTCAGTAGTAGAGTGCCCCTGAGTTCAATCCCCAGTACACCACCACCCCCACAAGCCTAGTATTAAAAACACGTTTCGGCTGCGGGTACAGCTAGGGGCTTGTGAAAAACCCTGGTTCAATCCCCCCCCCCACACACAAAACAATGTTCTGGAAATATAACATCTATAAGCATACATGAAAAATATCTTCAAGAACAAAATTAACTAAGGTACGTGAAAAAAGCATTACATAAACCATTAAGAATAAATAGCTGCTTCTTGAAACTTCTTGAGTGACAGCTGTGATTTTTCCCAGTGCAACACTACCCACAATAGGTTAAAAAAAAAAAACAACAAAAAAAAACAAAACCTCCAGTAACTTCCCATGAAATTCCTTAAAAGGATCAAAGCAGAAGCCACAGCGGTACCAATTACTTTACCAACATTATTTATCTTTTCAATAGAAAAGTAAGGCAGAGTAAAAAGTAAAAATTCCAAGGCACATAGTAGTATAAACTTACTTTTTTGCTTTGTACACATAAGCACATCTTTTGCCCAAATAGAACTCGGTTTCATCTCTGGCATAAACACCTTCAATTTTTAGAAGAGCTGTGTGCTCCCTTTGGTTCCGGAGACCCCGCTTATAGCCAGCAAAAATGGCTTTGCACCACAACCTAAGAAACACACGATACGTGTTATGTTAAATGTAACTGTTAAAATATCTCGGTTGTCTTCCTAAACCATCAAGATGATTTGACTTGTGAGGGCCCCCATCTGAAAGTTACTCATAGCAAACACCAAATTTTTAACCAGCATATAGATTTACCTCTAAGAGTGGCGTGGGGAGAGAAAAAAATATATATTTAAGAAGCATACCTTCCAGACATATCTGCCTTTTAAAAGTCCTGTTCCCAGCAGGCCTTAAAACAAACAAAACTAAGTTTAAAACCATGCAACACAAGTTTCTCACCTGTCATTTTTCTTAAGCCTCTCAGGCAAATTCCTTTTTGACCCGTTTCATGCGAATATGGGGAAGCGTAATTCACCTACATGAAGCGCAGAGCTTGGCGAAACATTCAAACCTCAGAGAATGAATGATACCTAAGCAAACTCCAAAATGAAGACAGTAACTAAAGTAACTAAGAAGCAAAACCACACACTGAAGAACGCCTAAAAGCCGCAATCGGAAGCCCTGAGCAAACTCATGCCGCTATCAGTAACAGATAAAATTCACTGAAAAATGAAGATTTACGTACGAAGCTGGCGGTAAAACACACAGAAGACATGCTCTAGCTTAGAGAAAAGTTGAGGTTGTAAACATGCGAAAGTATGTAGTGGGAGCAAATGAAAAAAAAAAAGGCAACTTAAAGGAACCACTGCTTCACAAGCAACTGCATAAGGAGTGACAATTTTACCCCGCTTGGGCCCCCAAATCCCCTAAAATTACCACAGCGCTCATTCACCAGGTGTTAGGAGCCCAGCACAATCAGTCCCTCATCTCCGCCATCCCGTCCTCCTTCTTCCCGGAATCCACAGAAATCACTGGCAAGCAGAGTCTCCGAACCGAATCGGTGCCTCGCCACGGTATACGGGTAAACCCAACCCAGTTATTTGCCTCCAAAGCTCAGCAGCGAGGGGTTTACTCACCTCCACAGGCACCAAGATGGCGGAAAAAGGAAGGCGAGGCCCCGCCGCATGGCCTTCTGGGATAAACATTTCTCAGCCCCGCCCCTAATTTAGGCATCCTCCGCGACCGCCAGAAAAACTAGTCCTAGAAATCATCTTCGGACTGAAAAAGTTACTTTCAGGAGCACTCATATAAATTTTCCCTAAGTCTTTTCATCTTTGCAAGCTACAACCTGTAGTGTTTGAGAACAGAGAGAGGCAAAATTGTTAGCCAGCTAAAGGAGGAGCGAAAACGGTCTCCTCCCATCTATGTTGCCATAGCAACATCTTAGCTTGTTTCCGAAGGCGAGAGGTGCTGCAGGTAAAGCTGGACCGGGGAACGTCTGTACCCGCCTTAGATATCACACTTTTGATTCTCAAACACAAGGAATATCTTTCCCTCCTCCCTCCGAGAAGTAGGACGAAGGGAGACCTACGGATCCTACCCTAGACTTGAAGAGAAAGGCTGGGAGCCCGAAGGCAGGATGCGCAATTCCTTCCCTATTTCCCCGCAACCCACCTTCCTTTCCCTCTACTCCTTTCACTTTTAAATGAAACGACTTAAAAGCTGGGCGTAGTGGCCCAGTCTTGTGGTTCCAGCTACCCGGAATGCTGAGGCGGGAAGATCGCTTGAGCCCGCGAGTTCGAGACCAGCCTGGGCCACATCGTGAGACATCCCCCGCCCGCCCATCCCAAATAACGAGAGAAATGCCTTTAAAAATGTTATCGCCCTCCTTCGCTTTTATTCGGAGGAAGAGCTTGTATGTCCAGCGAAGACCTTACCGCCTCCTTAGGAGAATTCTTTGAGCTGACAAACTCGGGGCGCCCGCGTCCTGCCATGCTTAATAGGTCTCATAAATACTTGTAAGATTAGAATGAGATGGATTGGAGGAGTCAGAGGTTTACATTTCCTAATTATTGCGCATTTTCTTGAGTAGCCCTATAGATTAATTTATTCAACAACTAGTTTATTGAATGGCTACCAAGGATCGAGAATTGTAGACTTTGAGGACGCTGCGATAAACAAAAATCTGTTCTCATGGAGCTTACATCATATTGTGGGGAGCAAGAAAACGAGCAAGTAAAATATATGGTACATTAGAAAGTGATAACTTTTGTGGAGAAAAATTAAAAGGCTTTTTTTTTTTCTTCTCTGACATTGGAAGCCATTTGAAGGTTCTGAACTAAAGAGTGACTAGGTCTGATGGGTTCACTGTGTTGAGACTGAAGAGAAGCAGGGGAAGCAGCAGGAAGATCTGTTAGGAGGCTACTCTAATGGTCCTGTTGAGAGATGATGGACATTCAGTACAGGTGATTAGTCCTGAAATTCTGAATATTTTAAATGTATTGCTGATACATAATTAATGAGAGGAGTAAAGGACAACTCCAACATTTTAGGAAATAAATGTATGTCACATTTAAAGTCAGATACCCTATTAAATACAACAGGATAGGGTTATGTTCCTTGTAACCCACTATCCCATCCAGTTTTCTCTGTCCCAGAAATATACTAGAAATTCTGCTACTTAAGAGATTCATTATTCAGCAGCACATATTCTAAAATTAGAATGGTGCAGAGAAGATTTAGCATGGCCCCTGCGCAAGGATGACACACAAATTTTTGTGAGGCATTCCACACTTGTAAAGTACTTAGAAGTTTATTTGACAATAGCATATTCCTTTTGAGAAAATAGACTTCAAGGTACAATGGATAGCACCCAATATTAAAATTGTGACTTTTATGCAAAAATATTTGTGTAATCTATGAAATGAGAACTGGGTGAAGTTACATGTGAAATGCTGTGTGCAAATATGTCATTAGTGTGTACCTCAGATTTGCGAACGTGCCAGCATGCTTTTCCTCTTCATTTAATTTAGAAAAGAAAGATTCATTCCTGAAGGTATTAAATACTTATTGTGCACCGTACCTGTGCTTACAATACAATAGTGAGATTTATTGTTATGGTTCCTGCTCTCATGAAACCTAACAGACTATTGGGTAAAATTGACATAAACATTACAAATTGTAAGGAGAGCTTTGCAGAGTTCTATGATTACTTGAATAGAGGAAGCATGATCCATCTTTTTGGGTCAGGGAAAGAAACACCTAGAGAAGTGACATCTAAGGCATTTTTCAAACTGCAGGTGATGATGCATTAGTAGATCATGATCATACTTTTTAAATTAAAATGTAAAACAATAAAACAAAGTGTCACATGTTGTTTTATGAAACTTCTTTCAGTGTGTTAAATACAACACTGTGTGTATGTGTGTGTGTGTATCTGGCATGGTAAGAGTTTAGTGAAGTACCTTACAAACATATAGGCAAGAATAAAATTAAAAGAGATAATGCAGTTTCTAGGCACAGGGAAAGAAGTTGTTACCTAAGCTGGGCGTGGGGTGAGTGTTTGAAGAGGATTGCCTGTCAGGAGCCATGACCTTCAATAGAGAAACAGCCAACCAAAGATAATATGTCAGGGAGGGAGCTGGGAAGAAAAATAACTTGACATGACTCTCCTGCACCTGGATCTCTTTCTGGACTCTCTCATTGATGGATTCCATATGAATCAGTCTTAAGAGCACAGAAAATGATGGAGATTGGATTTATAGATGTAAATAGTAGGTATCTCAAAAACTGCTACTGTTTTAAGTTGGTACCTATTGGGTCAGTAGGATTTTACTAGGTGAAGAGATGAAAAGAATGAAGGAATAGCATGTGCAAATACCCTGAGTTGGAAGAGAGCAAGATTCCATAGAATTGAAAGAAATCTTTCAGGCTAAAGACAAGAGCAAGAAAACAGCATTGCCAGATGGGTCTGGATCATGCAGACTTATGGGCCAAGTTAAGAATTTTGGTCCTTGTTCTAAGATATGGGAAAACATGGAAGAGTTCTAAGGAGAGATATGTTTGTGTTTTCAATTTTTAAAATATCCTTTTACTAGGCCTGTCTGTGAACACCTGTAATCTCAGCTACTTGGGAGGTTGAGGCAGGAAGATCACAAATCTGGGGCTAGCCTCTGCAACTTAGCAAGATGCTATCTCAAAATAAAAAATAAAAAGGTCTGGGATGTAGCTTAGTGGTAGAAGGCTTACCTGGCATGTGTAAGCACCCAAGTTCATTCCCCAGTACTGCAAAAAGGAGGAAGAACAGGAAGAGAGAAGAAAAGGAGTGCATATATCTTCAGGTTTTGTAGAATAATAATTAAGTTGACTACTTGTTAGACCTGTACCCCATAACATCAGTTTTTCTTTTAGACCAGGGACTGCTCTACTAAGCAAGTGAGGGGATAAAGCACAGCTCTTATAATTTTTTAATTTTCTCTTAAAGGGCATATAAATACTGAAACATCATTCAGTACTCCCTTAAACTAATCTCAATGTTTCCTTCTCATTCTAGTTGACTGCCTTTTTGTGAGATTATTAAATACATTGTGGAGGATAACAAAACTAAAGAAGAATGGAAGAGTATGTTCAAAATTCTAATTCATTCTGTGTGTGTTTTTTTAGTTATGCTTTATGGTAAATTTTTGTGTATTATTTATGTATTGCTGTTTAACAAATTGCCCTAAAACTTAGTGATTTAAAAATGTAAACATTTATTATTTTACATAGTATCTATGGGTCAAGAGTTTGGTAACCGCTTGGAGGGATGGTCCTGTTTTGGGTCTCTCATAAAGTTGAAGTGCACTAGGCCTGCAGTTACTTGAAGACTTAGTGGTATGGGCTAGAGGATCCACTTCCAAGGTGGTGCCTTGGCTGTCAAGTTGATGCTTCTGATGGCAAGAGGCCTTTAGTTCTCACTCTCATGAATGTCTGCACAAGGCTGATCAAGTGTCCTCATGACACAGCAACTCACTTCCCTCAGAGTAAGAGATATGAGAGAGTAAGGTAGAAACTATAATGTCTTCTATCACCTAACTTTGGAAGTCACACTCTTGTTATTTTCACAATATCCTTTTTGCCACATAGGTTAGTTCTACTCACTATCAGGGAAACTATGCAAGGCTATAAATGCCAGAAAGTGAGAACTATTTGGGCCACTTTGGAGGCTGTTTACCACATTCTGTTTTTCTCTAATCATGAGAAAATTTTGGTTAGCATTTAAAAATGATGTTTGAAAATAAAGCTGATTTTGTCTCAAATTTAAATTGGTTAAGCATAGCCAAATAGCAGGGGCTCTATGTCTTTATTAAACAATATTTTTTGTCCTTGTTTCATCAAAGTGGAAGGTATTTAGCAAAATCCCAAGTAAATGCCTACTTAAAAAAAAAAATCTAAGTTATATGACAATAAAAACTTCACAGGAGCAGATCTACATGCTGCCTATGCTTTTGAATCTAAGTAATATTTAGACATTGGTCATTAACTTCTTTTTTCCTTATTCTTTCTTTAGAGATAGGCCGGAAGATTTACCTCTTTCTCCAAAAGTTTGGAATCCTGAGGTAACCGTGTTGGTGACAGGCCAACCACCTAGTGCCGTAGAAGAAGAAGAGGAAGAATCAACTAATGTAGTAGATATAGAAGTTATCCCAGAAATCGGAGAGCCACTTTCCCTTCTAGAGATGCTGAGACTCTCTGCAGTTCTGGAGGATACCCTTGACCAACTTTCTATTCTAAACTATATCATGCCAGTTCACTATGAAAGAAAACAAAGCACTAGCATGGTAATTAAACTCTCCATTATTTAATTTTGCTTTCTTTCCTTTTTATCTATCATTTATAGTACATTTAACTTGGGGAACATCTTTATCTCAGATAAAGGGCTATCATAATTATCTGAGACATGTATTCTCAATTGATGGGATGAAATTGTGATAGCTCAAGGTACATGATGAGGCAGAATATCTCTTTCCAATATATTGGTATTATTTCAAAAGGTGTATGGTTAAGTCACTGTAAATATAGAACAGTCAGCCTTCCATATATGCAGGTTCTGCACCCATGGATTCAACCTCTGAGCAAAAATATTCAGAAAAACATTGTGTCTGTAGTAAATAAGTTCAGATTTTTTTTCCTTGTGATTGTTCCCTAACAATACAGTGTAACAATTATTTTACATTGTGTTAGTTATTTTAAGTAATCTAGAGATGAAAAAAGGTATGGGAGGATATAGATAGGTTATATGCAAATTCTGTGCCATTTTATATAAGGCCTTGAGCAGCCACAGGGGTCCTGAAATCAATTCACTGTGGGTGCTGAGGGATAGCTTTATATATATTGAGGAGATCAAACAACTGTATGTATACTGAGGAGATTAAATTACTAAATTCTCCTACTTATCTTGTATTTCTCAATGGCTAAAAGCTAACAGAGGGAGGAAATTCAACTGGACTCTCAATATTGTTTTAATCTAAACTGATTTTGTAGGCTGCATGGTGCACATGCCTTAATTCCAGCTATTCAAGAGGCCGAAGCAACCAGCAGACAGACACCTTTAGGCTAGGTGTGATGGCATGTATCTGTATCCCAGTGATTTGGAAGGTTGAGGCAGGAGAATCCCAAGTTCAAAGCCAGGCTTAGAAACTTAATGAGGCCTTAAATGAGAACCTGTCTCAAAAATAAATAAATAAAAAGGGCTGGGGGTGTGACTCAGTCATAAAGTACCCCTGGGTTCAATCCTCAATTAAAAAAAAAAAAATTGACCTTGTTGTAATTGCTGGCTATCTTGTATCCTGCTTTTGTGGGTATCTGGCCATGTTTCAGTCATTATATTTCCAATGACTTTTTGGACTCCTGAGGACCACTGAGGTATCAAAAAGCTTAACTTGGTAGTGAGAAAAGTCTTTACAAATTTTTAAACTCTTATAAACCTCAGTTATATAGGTTTCTTCTTTAGTCATATGATTTGTACAAAATATATTCTTCTGATCCTATGACAAATGAAATTGCTACATAGGTTAGAGGGTAAAGTGCTTTCCAGGTCTAAAAGAAAGAAGTCCATATTAATAAAAGAAAAATAATTTCCCTTTAATTGCCCATACTATTTTTTAAATTTCTTTTTTATTATTGTTATTATTAGTAGTATTGTAGTCTGGGAACTTAAAACTTGATTAACATTTAAAACTTTATATAGGATTTTAATAGGACACCAGATTTTGTGTCAGGAAACCTTTGGGTTTAGTTGTAAACAATAAGCAATCAATTTCACTTTCTTGGTCTTAGTTTTCTCATTTGCAAATTATAATGGAGTTTTATCTTAAATGATCCATATATCCCTTCCAATTCTAAAATTCTATGAATTTGAAGGTGGTTTTGTTGTTGTTGCTTTGTTTTATTTTTGGTACTACTGGGAGTTGAACACAAGGTTTTGTACATGCTAAGTGAACACTCTACCATTGAGCTATACTCCTAGCCCTTTGTTATGGTTTTTTTTTTTTTTTTTTTAATTTTGAAACAGGGTTTCACTGAATTGCCCAGGCTGGCCTCAAACTTGCAGATCCTCCTGCCTAGCCTCCCCAATAACTGGGATTAGAGGTGCGTACCACCATGCCTGGTTTGAGATAGTTTTAAAATAACATTAATGGGCTAGGGATTTAACTCAGTAGTAGAGTGCTTACCTATCATGAGTAAGGCCTTGAGTTTGATCCCCAGCACTACCATCAGTAAGCAAGCAAGTAAATAAATAAATAAACAAATAAGCAAACATCAGTATTACAGGAATTTTATAATATAAATTAATTTCTGTATCAATTTATAAGGAGCAAATAAATTAGAGGCCAAGAACCAAATCTTTTAATGCCTATAAAACAAGAATGTAGTCCTTAATGTAGTTAACAAAGAGTCCAGAAAAGGCTAATTTTTCTTCCTATTTATATTGTCTTTTTCAGTAAAAATCAAAAGTATATTGGGAAAATATTCAGTTAATAAATGAGGTCTTATTAATTGTACTTACTCTCAATCTTTAAAAAGAGTAATTGGCTGTCATAGAAACTCAAGAGAGTGTGAAAAACTTAAATTGATAGTGTTCAGCAGAGATCACCACTCCAGAAAATGTAAGAGTGAAACTTTTGGGGCTGGGGTTGTGGCTCAGTGATAGTGTCCTCACCTAGCATGTGCAAGGCCCTGGGTTCAATCCTCAGCACCACATAAGAATAAATAAATAAAATAAAGGTATAAAAAAAAGAATGAAACTTTTGTTCTGTTTTATGATAGTGATCTTTCACCTCCAAAATTTTCTGACTTAACAAAAACCCTCCTTGTGATTTTATAGTAGTATAAATATAGCTTATACTATTGTCATAAGTGAGCTATGTCACCGACATAGACTAAACATGTTAGTGTCTTTTCGAAATGTCAGAATTTGTTGAATATCAATAAATTCACAGTCTACCCCACTTTCATCTTTGGCAGTTCACCAGGTAGTCCTAAGCCAGGCAAAACCAAGTTCTAATATCCCCATCTTGTACATAGTGTGTACTACATAAAATACTTTTTAGTGCTAGGCGGGGTGGCACACACCTATAATCCCAGCAGCTGAGGAAAAGTTGAGGCAGGAGGATTCCAAGTTCAAAGCCGGCCTCAGCAACTGAGTAAGGCCCTAGGCAACTTAGCAAGACTCTGTCTCAAAATTAAATATTTAAAAAAGGATTGAAGATGTGGCTTAGTGCTTAAGCGTTCCTGGGTTCAATTCCCAGTACCAAAAAAATATATATATAAATATGTAAATATAAATAAATATATGTATGTATATAGTGAATGGACTAGAATATTTAGCTAGTTTAAATTCTCCTTCTAAAAAGTCATCAGTAAATTGGGCCATGTGACATATTTGCGTCCTTTTCCAGATGCTCAAGCATAAAAATAGAGAAATAATGGTTGGGGAAATCAGAAAAATGAATCCTCCTGAGCATTACATTTTATCTTTTCCTCATAAGGCAAAATATAAAATATTAATCATCGATTTGCCAATGGGAAATGAAGGCACAGAGATGTGAAATAGTTACCTATTTAATTAGGTCAACATGGTTTAGTAAGGGATATAGCCAGAAAAGAAAAGTCTGGTTTAGAGTTTAAATTTGTGGTCACTCTCAATAGCTCAAGATTTTAGCCACAGATTAAGTAAAAATCATTAATTAAAATAATACATGCTGTTCCTATGGCCCCTTAATATTTGATTTTGAGTTTGAAAAATAAATTCGTTTGGCTTTTTTGTACATGACTGTTAGTCAGCTTTTTGTCTCTATGACCAAAATATCTGACAAGAACAACTTATAGGAGGAAGTGTATTTTGGGATCACAGTTTCAGAGTTTCAATCCCTGCTTGACCAACTGCATTTCACTGAGTCCATATTTCACAAAGAACTTTGTGTGTGTCTATGCGGGAGATTGAATTCAGGGCCTTGCACATAGTAAGGGAATGCTCGTCCACTGAGCTACACCTTCAGCCCCAAACTTTACCGTTTTTTTGGATACCAGGGATTAAATTCAGCAGGCATTCGGCCACTGAACCACATCCCTAGCTCTGTTTTGTATTTTTTTTAAAGACAAGGTCTCACTGAGTTGCTTAGTACCTTGCTTTTGCTGAGGCTGGCTTTGAACTTGAGATCCTCCTACCTCAGCCTCTGGAGCCACTGGGATTACAGGTATGCGCCACCATGCCAGGCCCAAACTTTACCTTTATTAGAGTCTTGTGGTTTACCAGGTGGTAAGTGGGGAATGACAGCAAATACTGTGTGAAAGCAGGAAGACACAAAACAGCAGGATATGTGGACTTGATGTGACTAAAGAAGAGGGAACATTTTTTTTGGAGGATAGCATACAAGTGGAAGAAAATGAGGTTAAAAAATATTTATAGACAGAGGCAGGTCGTCTTAGAGTATTGTCTCTTCATTTAAAAAAAATCTATCTTTACCTCATATTTTGTTAGAATATCAGTAGCCTAGAAAAATCTCTGCTGGTCTCTACAAACAAAATATCTACTCCAGTCTCAACTAAAGAAAAATCCACATTGCCAGAAATGCCGCAAGGAGGTCAATTTTCCATGGAGTTTAACAGAATGCAGGATCTTGTCTTTAAACAACCTACAATGCAGTCCATAATGTCTACAGAGATAATGAAGAAAATTCAGATTGATAGGTAAGGAGAACATATTTGGAAATGTATGATGCATTTATACATAGATGAGAGAATGGGTACAAGGCTGGTTGACTGCTATGTTGCATTAGAGTTTGTCATTATATTTGAAGTGATTGCTGATAATAGGATTGTCTGAAGACTGCCTGGAGACAGTGTAGTACAGTTGAAAGCATGTGATTGTATTATCTTGGGCAAATTATTGAGCCTTTGTATCCAATTTTTAAAAATGACAGTAGGGCTGGGGGTATTGCTCAGTGATAGAGCACATGCTTAGCATATGCAAGGCCATGGGGTCCATGCCCAGAACCCCCCAAAAGGATAATGGTAACAACCTTACAACATTAATGTAAGGATTAAAAATAAGGCCTTTGGCCAAGTTTGGTGGTGCTTGCCTGTAATCTCAGTGACTCAGGAGGCTGAGGTAGGAGGGTCGTGAATTCAAAGCCAGTTTCAGCAATTTAGTGAGGCACTAAGCAACTTAGCGAGACTCTGCCTCAAAATAAAGTACAAAAATGGCTAAGGATGTGGCTTAGTGGTTAAGGACACCTGGATTCAATCCCCTCTAGCCCCCCACCAAAAAAAAGGTGTTAGCCTAGTGTCTAGTACAGATTGGTAGCTACTGTGATGCTTTATCTATTAATAAGAAATAGCCATTATCAAAGTAGGCAAATCCTAAAAATCATGTTTTAATCCCGAGGATTTCTTTCTTTTTTTCTTTTTCTTTTTTTTTTTTTTTTGGCACCAGGGATTGAACCCAGGGGCATTCAACCACTGATCACATCCCCAGCCCTTGCTAAATTGCTTAGATCTTTGCTTAGGGCCTGTGGTTAACTTTGAACTCTTGATCCTCCTGCCTCAGTCTCCCAAGCCTTTGGGATTACAGATGTGTGATACTGTATGCACCACAAATTGAGACTACCACAAATTGAGACTACTTTTAAGAAATCCTCAGGAATAGCGAGGATTTCTTAAAAGTAGTCTCAATTTCTATTATTAATCAGTGTTGTTATTGTTGTTGTTGTCGTTGTATGGTAAAAGACTATTGGTAAATTTAGTCACTAACTAAATTCAGCTTGGAAGTATGTTTTTAAGAAGTTTTATTGGGATACAACATTTCCTATTTGTTTGCAGTGTTAAGGGCTGCTTTCATACTATAATCCACAAGTTGACTAGTTGTAAAAGAGATCTATGGCCAACAAAGCCAAAAATATTTATTCTTTTTCCTGTTGCAGAAAAAGTTTTCCAACTTCTATATTAGATCTAAATAAGGTAATGATTCTTGCTAAAAATCAGTCTGGCCCAGATTTGCACATATGACAAAAAGGTATTCTGCTTATGAACTACCCAATCTGGTTAATGTTCTTTTTATTCTTACTGTGATGGTTCATGTATTTTCCTGAGAGATGAAAAATACCAGTCTCAGATTATTTTTAGGGGATTTGTCTTAGATATATATTCCTTAAGAATTTAAATTATGAAACCTAGAGTGATATGTAATCATGAAATGTACATCTCTACCTGTTATCTAGAATCAAAGTGAAAATCAAATATTAAAGGCATGAAAACTATAGTAGTGTTGAGAGCCACAGCCAAAGGGGCCCCAGCAAACTTCCAGCTGCCAGCAAACTTCCAGCTGCTGGCTGATGATTGGCTCACAGCGGCCCCAGCAACATCTAGCTGATTGGCTCCTCTGCGGTGATGCTCATTGGACTGTTTCCCTGCCCTTTCAGACCACGGAGCTGCTCATTGGGGGACTTTTTTGGCTCCGCCCACGTGACCCAGCCAATCGGCCTCAAGAGCAGGAGGATTGTGGGAGGTGGAGAGAAGCTTGTGTGGGAGAGAGAGGCTTGGGGAAAGCCGGTGGTGGCAGTTGAGGCTCTGAGGGTTTTTCCTGAGAGACTATTTTGTTTGTCGTGTGTGGTTCTAAAAATAAAGTTAGTTTCTTTTGACAAGTGGCTCCTGATTGTGCCCAGCCAGACTGCGGCATTTGGTGGCTCGCACGGGGAGCGACTGAGGGTAAGTGAAACTGCTCGCCCCTGAGGGCAGGGCGAGAGGATGGGTAGCCATTTTAAGATTCCTCTTTTATTTTGCTTCACTTTTGTTTTAAGTTGCCTGTCCCTGGAGATGAGTGAGACGGAAGTAAAACCGCTCACATCTGAGGAAAAACTATTTACGTCTGAGGAACAGATAGGGAGAAAGGACGGATGCCCATGTCAGGAGGATAGAAAGGCTATAATGACTTTTTGTTGTTCCCTTTTTATTTCATTCTGTCTCGGTTTTGTTTGGCGTCATCTTGTTGGGTTGTATTATAGTAGAAATATGGGATCAGAAATTAGTAAAAAACAAACTGAAAGAGTGTTAAGTAAATTGTTAGAGGAAGGAGGCATCCCAGTAAAATCAAGAGCAGTCAGGGCGTACGTTGATACAATACAGAAATGTAGCCCATGGCTTTTTAAGGAGGAGTTGTTAAATATATCACAATGGAACCATCATGGTGAAGATTTAAAAAGAATAGAAAAGAAAAGCCCAGGGACTCTGCCAGTTGGCACATTGCCATTGTGGACGTTCATATCTTGTTTGCTTCGTCCAAAGCCTTCAGTTCAGACAATGGTAGAGGAAGGAGAAGACATAATGATTCAAGTAAAAGAGAAGGTCTCTCAAGTTAGTCAGACAGAGGAAAAGATTCAAGTAAAAGAGAAGGCCTCTCAAGCTAGTCAGACAGAGAAAGAAAGTGTAAAACAGAAAAAGCCATCAGGGGGAAAGTTACAACAGGAGACTGCTACTAACACCTTTCTATCACCAGAGGGTGTAAGTGTCCAACCAACAGCACCACCTCTACAGGAGACTGCTACTAACACCTTTCTATCACCAGAGGGCGTAAGTGTCCAACCAACAGCGCCACCTCCATATGCTGGGAGGCCCCCAACCCCCGCAGTTGATAGTTGGGATCCTGAGACAAGGTCTCAAATATTAACATGCCCTGTATTTGAGGCAGGAGGGCAGCGATTTTACCAAGTTTTAAATTTCAAAACAGTGAAGCAGCTAAAAGAGGCTGTAACAACCTATGGTCCTCAAGCACCCTTCACTGTAAGCTTGGTCGAATCCATTAACAACTTGAACATGACGCCAGCAGATTGGGCTAATATGTGTAAAGCTGTGCTAAATGGAGGACAATACCTGTTATGGAAGGTTGCCAATGAGGAATTTTGCAAGGAGACGGCTAGGTGAAATGCAGCAGCTGGTTATCCTCAGAGAAATCTAGATATGTTGTTAGGAAAGGGACCTTATGAGGATCAGCAGCAACAAATTGCATATGATCCTGGCGTATACGCACAAATTGCTGCAGATGCAATTAAGGCATGGAAGACTTTACAAGGACATGGAGGTTTACAAGGTCAATTATCTAAGGTAATACAAGGAGCTAATGAACCTTATGCTGAATTTGTAGATAGGCTTATTCAAACAGCTACCAGAGTTTTTGGGAATACAGAACAAGCAATGCCATTACTAAAACACCTGGCTTATGAGCAAGCGAATCGTTGGTGCAGAGATATCATTAGACCATGGAAACATGAAGATTTAAACACATATATTAAATTATGTAGAGACATTAATGAACAAGAGCAAGTCGTGGCAGCTGCAGTAAAACAGGCTTTAGATGCCAGAGACATTAATGAACAAGGGCAAATTGTGGCAGCTGCAGTAAAACAGGCTTTAGATGCCAGGCCAAGAACATGCTACAATTGTGAACAAACAGGACATTTTAAAAGGAATTGCCCCATTGGAGGAGGGTTTAACAAAACTAGGTATCAAAGGAGTAGAATACCAGGTATTTGCCCACGATGCCGTAGAGGGAGACATTGGGCTAATGAATGCCGTTCTCAAACCACCATAGAGGGTACTCCATTATCAAAAAACGAACAAGGACCAGGTGTTTATCCACGATATCGTGGAGAAAGGCATCGGGCTCCATTGCCAAAAAACAGACAGGAGGGCCCAATGCTCCGGGGCCCAAAACCACAAATATACGGAGCACTGGAGGAACCCAGCAACCCCATCAGGGTAGTGCCCAGGACACATTGTCCATCAGATCCCTCATCAGACAAACCAGAGGGAGCGCAGGGTTGGACATCTGCGCCTCCGCCAGAGCAGTACTAACTCCAGAGATGGGAGTTCAAATCATTCCCACAGGGGTGAAAGGACCTCTTCCCAAAGGAACAGTAGGCTTATTATTGGGACGCAGCTCTTCTACTCTAAAAGGACTTATGATAAGTCCTGGGGTAATTGATCCCGATTATGAAGGTGAAATAAAAATTATAGCCAGTTCTCCAAAGGGTATATCAGTAATTTCACCAGGAGATAGAATAGCACAGTTACTAATAATACCCAGCCTACATGATAAATTTTCCAGTCGTACTGTAGAAAGAGGTTCCAAGGGATTAGGCTCCACAGGTGTAGATTGGGCTATGCTTTCTTTAAATTTAGATTCTCGCCCCATGCTAAAACTAAATATTCAAGGACATGAATTTAATGGGCTACTGGATACAGGTGCAGACCTTAGCATCATCTCTCATCAAGAATGGCCAAAACATTGGCCATTACAACAAGCCACTCAAACGCTTCGAGGCCTAGGAGTGGCGACTAATCCCCATAGAAGTGCAATGGTATTAGATTGGAAGGATCCTGAAGGATGTGAAGGAACTATACAGCCATATGTATTGGATCATCTTCCCGTAAATTTATGGGGACGAGATGTCCTAGATCAAATAGGTTTGACAGTAACAAATAACATCAACCAAAATGCACCCACTATTATGACTAGACAAGGTTTTAGGAAAGGAAAAAGATTAGAAAAACAAGAACAAGGTATAGCAGCACCAATACAAATAGATCAAGGGAGAGACAGACATGGGTTGGATTTTCAGAAAGGGCCACTGAGACAATAAAAATTACTTGGAAATCAGAAAGACCAGTATGGGTTCCTCAGTGGCCCCTGACTA